AATGATCTCAGCAATGCTTGTGCTAGAGATGCTTGTCTCCAGTAAACTTAAAGCAGTTGTTTAATTGGAATTTCTGATGTTGAACAATGCTCTCTGTGTTTCAGAAGTCATAAAAATACAAATTATAGTAAGTGTTTGGACTATTTAGGCTTATTAGAACCAGAGGTAGCTGTGCTGTGGATTTTGTTTATTCCGGATCCCACATTTCAGGAAAGCCTTGACTATACTGGTAATTTAGAAATTTCAGTGTTGGTACATTGGCTAATTACAATATGAGTCAATGTTTGTCAAGACAGACATAAGGGCTAATCTGTTTCATTTCATAACATTTTAAAGCGCTGCTGCTGTTTTGTGGTTTCTTGCTTAAGAGTGCTTCATTTCAGGCCTATAGAATGTGCTTGCTATCTCCCTCCCTCATTTATGAGACTGTCAGTAACAGCAAAAATGAAAAAATACAAATGTAATTATTCTTCCATGAATCAGGGTGAACACAGAGGGCTAAAACTAAATTGGAATTAATGAATCTATGCAATAGAGTGTAACTGTGCAGAGTCTGATTTCTTGGAGCAAAACTGACTCATCTATGGGATCGTCCAAGGTACAGTGACTCAGTGACTCTCGGAGCAGATGATGCCTGTTGCCAGCCTGCCATCACTTGAGCAACAAACATAATCCACTGCCTGTCAAGATGTGTCTCTGTTGGACACCACAAACTGACTCATGTTTTGATCTTTTTCATAATCTATACACGTTTTACTATAGGGCTCTATTAGTCTTCTGACTTGCATGCTGTAGCCAAACAGCTCGTAACATATGTATTCTTTCAAATTTGGTAGTTGAGTAATAAACAAATAATAATGACTCAGTACACACCATCACCCACATTCTCACAATGGAAGAATCTAAAAACATCCCCTGAATTCCATATGCTTTGCAGGAGAGATTTTTTTCAGCCATCCTTTCGTAGTTCTTATATCTGACATGTAATACCTATACTATTAGGTCATCTTGAGCAGGAACACATACCAGTCTTTATTAGAGGCTATTCTGGGACTGAAAAGCTCTATGTTTGATCAACTCAAAGTTTCCTTGATTTTTTTTCTTTTGGTGTGAACTGAAGTATATTTAACACACAGTAAGTGGTTATTATGCATGAAATCTTGTCAGAGGTGTACTAAGTTCAAGTACTGATCAGACCCTGTCTGTGTAGTTGCCTCTTGTTACATATTTTTTAAAAGAGAACGAGGGCATAGCATGGTAACAGACTGGAAAACTGCTGTAAGACTGCTTTTGCTGTTTGCACCTACAGAACTGCCACTTCTCCCTGCAAAATCTTTTGAGTATTTTGAATTGAAACCTTTAAAAGGAAGGAAGTCAAGATCCAACCCCCAGAACATATGAATCTGCTAATGTGTAGGAAAGCTACATACCTCCTTGTCCTTATTAGAGTTTTGCCCAAATTTAGTTAACTTGTCCTAGTGCAACCATTTCCACTTTACCTTGGAGGCAGGGCTGCTGAAGGGGCTGGGGTCTCCAGGGTCTTTCCATTTTCTGTCTGTCTTCCACCAAAGAACGGATAACAATCAGTCTCTTCAGCTCTGCACTGAAGGTCTGTGTGAGTGCCAGCAAACATTTGAACAGAAAAAAAAAGTTAATTTATATTGCCAATATTCTCACCATAACCTACTGAGTCTTGGGGCCTAGTGTCTTTCCACATGATTTTGCTCTTTGATATAATTCAGTAACTACATATTTGCATGCTAAAATTAGCACAGAGTCATGGGTGTGAAAGTTGTTTAAATACATATTATTAGGCTACTAATATCATTCTAGGATTAATACCCATGTATTATAATAGCAGGGTATAGTTTAGGAGACATATGAGACAGCGTATGTTTGAACTTAGCAGAATCATGGTTAGAATTTTTAAACCCTCTGGGTATGTACAATTTCTCTTTATACTGAATATGTATAAAATTAACTAGGACTGCCAAGTATTGGTGGCTCATTTGTGAACTTATGTATATGAATGGCAAATACAAAACAAAGTATCAAAAGAAGCACAAATACCAGCCAAGAATCTCATATATCTTATGTGCATTATTCAAGTGGAAAGAGGCTCTTAAAAGAAAATATCTGCAATTAGTTGTAATACTTTCAAAATCATTACATGCCAGTAAGAAAAACTTATATCAATATGTTTAAATTTCAAAACAATCTGAAGAAATACCTCCTCTTGCTTCATTATCTGTTGGGGGGTTAATGATGCCAGTACCTCTCACTGAGAGAACCGGCATTTCTTAATAGCTTCTGTCACAAAAGTCAACCAACACTGCTACAGTCTGATACAGAGGAATGTCATTTCCAAAACAAAAATAGTTCTCAAAAATTTCTTAGTCTTTTCACACATTGAAATGTTGACTCCTATTACTTACATTAGAAAAAACATCTCCTGCCTGTCACAATCAAGGTGACCTGTATGATTTTTAATTCTTTTACTGCTTTTGTGGTATTGCCAGCTTAAGGGCATCATTTTATCTCTGTATTCCGCTATAATGGTACCAGATCAGGTCTTTGTTCTGTTATCATCTTGTAAAAACCAAAATTAGTCATTTTTGTAAGATTTTTGCATTACTAGCTAGTGCTTCAGAGAGCCTGGAACAACGTATTGTAGAAACAATGTCATTTGCAAGGATGAGATACAGAGAGACAATTGTCTGTTCACATATTGCAAGATAAAGATGATTTTGTCTCTCAACATTTTGTAGAAATGTCCTCAGAGCCCATTCCTACAGTGTTTCTGGAGGCAGTGCTTTCTCCAGCAATAGAAATAAGCTTGTTTCTTTGTTTTCTTCTACCTGGTGTTGTCATTTACACCAGTGCATTCTCAGTGTGAAAAAGCTGATCTGGTGGCATTTTGCAGTTATTTTGTCCTGCTGTGAATAGTTGCACTCTCTGCAGCTGTGGTTGGCATGAATGGAAGGGATATGCAATTCTGCAGCCTTATTCTCCATCAGGAGGTCATCAAAGCATGCTGCTCCTTCAGAACCACTGTGAGCAGAAACTAGTGTCCCTCAACTCTCATTTGAAACCTGTGCTGCCAAGGAGCAGAGAAACAGATGGAGAAGCACCTACTATAATCTGCCAGCCTGGTGCATGGCTCAGTTTGTCGTCCTTTTCAGATACAGGATGTTATCTCTTCCATATTTGCCATTGTGATTAAACCACAGGGGCTCACTGCTCTCAGGTCCTTTTCTTGAGTTGCTTCCATTTGTTGCTTTCTCATCCGCTTTGCTTTTCTGTGTGGTGTTAACAGGGTTATTCTGGAAATCCAGCAAAGGCCAAGAGCAGCATGAGGTTTGTATTATGGTAAATTTACACAGCATCAGCAGCTGATGCTGAAAGAGAATTTTCATTATCCCTTAGTAGTATAGTCTGAGGCATCTAGCTGAGAAGCTGTGATACCATCCGGAAGGAATAATTTGTACATGCTTCAAGGTCAGCTTGTAAATACAGCTATTTTATTGCAAGGAAAATATTCCATTTTAGTCAACATTTGGGACCAGAACATTACTAGAAGGGCAGAAACACCCACAGGAGTAATTTTTTTTCTGTTCAGAACTCTTTGTCCACAAACTGATGTAGTTTTTGTTTCAAGAAGCCAGCTCCGAAATTACATTTCCCTGAGGTGACTCATCTAGTACTGCAGTAGTGCAGTACCTGCAGGGCAGTCAAAGGAGGTTGGCAGTGGTCCATGTTATTTCAGACTTCTAGGGGACAGTGAATTGTGGAACGTGGTTGGGTTGTGTGAGCCATCTTGGTAGATTCAAGGCTGGCTTAAATACAATAAAGCACTTAAACACATTTCTTAATTTTAAACCAATCAGAGTACTCTTATGGCTTCATGTTAAGTGCGTGCTTATGTGCTTTGCTGGAAAAAGATGTTATTCTGTGTTGCAGGAGTATCAAACCGGAAGAAAATCTGTATCACTGTTTGCTGTATAAGGTCTGAGGCTCAGATCTTTCTTTAATGAGTGTATTTATTTTACAAGCTTCAGAGATCAGGAAAAAAAAATCATTTTTCAGTCTCCTTAATGAGGGCCCAGTTTATCAAAATTCTTAGCTCAAGTTAGCACGGTACAATATAAATGCCATTTTCATCAGCTAGAAGGATAAAACCCTAACTGACACATCTGCAAAACCAAGCAAAGCCTGGGATGATGAATGCATTTCCAGATCTGTGGGAACTGATCAAATGTGCCATTATATCCATTTGATTCTCTTTTATTAGCAGCTACCAAGATGTCTAGATAGGTAATTTAGAACAAATGTGTTCCTTTGAATACTTAGAAACAAATGAAATGAATATCCATTTTCACGTGAATTGCAAAACACTGACCAAAGGAGCAAATGTTATGATGAACCATGTTCTAATCTGGGGGCAAGGGATATATATATCCACTGTTGGAAGGCAGAAGGAAATAGAGCTGCATGTAGCAATTATTCCTACATTTCCCACCAAGTAGAACATCTCCTGTAAAATTGCTCTGTTTGTAGCTTCTGCCTCAAGATAACTTCTGCACCTGCAGCTAAAAGATTAAATGACATCTGGTGAAGAAAAACTGCCACTTGGGGTCACATATGTCATCAAATGACATATTTTGTTTATCTCTGCAGTTAGGGCTACTGAATTACGAATTCCTTCTCTTCATTTTGAGCTTTACTGTGGGTCTTCATCATAAAATACTTTTTTTGAGCCAGTAAAAATGTTGAAGCTTTAAGTTTTATAGCAGGAAAAAAGAAAAAAAGGGACATATTTTTTCCTAGATTTCTCTACAATAATTTATCTGAATTATTAATACTCCAGTCAAATATGGAATTCTGTATTCAAACCCACTTGGGTACCCCAAGAAGTTACAGATTCTCGTTACTAAGTACTTTATTCTTTCACTGTCATTTCTGGTAAGTATTTGACTCCCTGGCACCCTCACCTGATCCTTCCTGATGTGTGCAGTATATAGCATAAGAGCAATAAGAAAGTAAGAACAGTGGCTACTTCTGAAAAGTAAGGTTTATACATGGAGGTGGTCCCCAACATAGGTCTTTTAGAATATTTGTAGAAAACTTACAATGTGGGTATGCTTAATGTAAAATAATATTCCTCTAAGAAAGTTATTTGATGTCAGCTATAGTTCAATAACTTTGCATGGGTCTTATTCTAGAATCATTCCTTTATGGACATATGCTCAGTAACGTTCAACATTAGTAAGTTACAGAATTATCTGCATTCACAGTTATTTAATATGAAAAAGCTGACTAATCAGAACCCTTGGCAAAAAGAAAAAGGAGTAATAGCTGAATATATACCACTGCTTCTAAGAAACTGCTATGAATCCCTCAGTGTTGCCTCCTTACTGATACTTTCTGTTTTGACAAAATCATTTACTCAAGCTGTCACTTTTTGGCACATACAGTTGGTGGCATATCAAGTCAAGTAAGTCCCAGCTTTTCATCCTTGTTCCAGTCAGAGAGCAAAACTTCTGTGAAAACAGAATCAGGTGATGATTCAAAATGGAAGCTAGTAATTCAATTTTATATGTTGTTAGACCTTGCAGTTTTGGTATACATTCAGAGTTGCTTCCAACTGAAATCCACGAAACTCACTACCTAGCTCGTTTATTTGTTTTGATTTTCATGGCAATTTAATGCAAGGGGTTTAAGATATATTTGCCAAAATTCACATATCTCATCTTAAGAGCTGTCATAATTTATGCTCAATATAAATGCCTAGGGAATAAGGCTGCACTTCTAGGAAAGGGTTCAGCAGAAAAATATTCTCTGTTTGGGTCATCAAATGGTGTAAGATTTTCCAGGGTATTTCCAGAGATTAGAGAATGCAAATAAAGTGCAAAAGAAATGAATATTGTCCTAAGTGCTGAATGATATCAAGAACTAATGGAGCAATCAGCCCTTCTTGTTCCAAAGAGTCATCTTTTACAGTAAAAGGAGAAAAATGTAGCAATCATAACCTATAATATGATGATGGAAGATGCAGCGAGAATGATATTCCATTAAAGTACATACTTCACTTTTCACTAAAGATCAACAAGTTCGACAACAGCTGAAATGAGAATTTTTAAAGACAGCTATTGTTTCAGCTGTCATTACTGTTTCATTTCTTTCCATCAATTAATATTTTCAAGTGGCAGATCTAGTATTTAACTTAGCTATGCTCAACTGGTGCACCAAGACATACTTAGAAGTAAAGCTGGAAGATTTCTTAATAAGCAGTGATTGAAACAGGAGGAAGAGTCAAAGGAAATAATAAAACCAGTGTGCGCTGAATTGCAAACAGGAAATAGTTTCTTTTGGCTAGTAGTGCTACATGAAAACAAAGTCTCAAAGCAATGGATGTTCTTCATGTCCAATTGATGCTGACAGAATTTAGGTTCCCAATATGTATGAGTCATACTGTGTGCTAGTTGTGGTAGTTTTTCTCTTGCCCATAAAAAAAATATTGTGATTCCAATAACAAAAAACAATTTCACTCAAATGCTGCAGCTTAATTCTTATCCCTTCAAACCAAGCCCAAGGAGCTGACGGCACAGAGATACAGGAATTATATATCACATCAGTGCAGAATGATCTAATTTGTTGTGATACAGAAGTCCTAAAGAAATATGCTGCTAAGGTGATCCAATCAGCTAGGGTTTATTCTTTTCCTGTTCTAGTTTAGAAAGCAAAAAAAATGATCTGAAAAAAGCTATGCCCTCCAGAGGGTTACCTTATAACAATATCAGTCACAAATGGAATGCAGAAATCTTTCAGGTAAAACAGACATCAAATCCATCCTAGTGGTGTTATCTTCATTTTAGAGCTTCAGTAATGATATTTAAGAGGAATTCATAATGAACCCTCAAAAAGGGAGAAGTCTGGAAGTTTCACTTTAATTTCAGACATGAAAAATAGCTCCCAGACTGAGACCATCCTCTCCAATGATAGTAAGGAAAACTATGCCTGAAGAACTATGTCAAAAAAAATCTTGCTAGCAACAACAGAGTGGGCCAGAATGCCTTCAGAGTTCATTTGGCCAAATGCAAAGATATTTAAGTGTGATGTCTCTTTTTGCTACTAATAATAAAATCAAGTATGAAGATCTAGAAAGCTCAGTGTGCTTATGATTAGGCATGGCCTCTTGCATCTAGGCTAGCAATTTAAATCTAAAATAAGTGAATACAACAGTGATTGAATACTCTTGCCACATCTGTTCTCCATGAATTGGTCTCAAGAGTTCCTGGTAAATACTATATCACACACAAAATGTCTCACCATAATTGTCACCTTCCTAATCCTCAGAGAAAGAAATAATATAGACTGGAGCAGGCAGGAAAAACAAAATTCTCACTAGTTCTGTAGGTTGTTTTCCTTTGGGCAATAGATTCACATTAAGGAATTGCACCAGGAATAGTGAAAGCAAGCTTGTAACACTTCCCACCCACAGCTTTTAGTACCAGCCTCATGCTTAGCCAAAGTTGGTCGATTTTGTTTCAGTATTTTTCATGAAATTAGAAAGGTATTTTCAGGTCTACACAGAACCACTTAATGAAGCTAAAAACCAACAATTAAGAAAATTAAAGCAAGAGATCTATTTTTTTTTCACTCAAGAAAATACATTTCAGATTTGCATTCTACTCATTCTTCCTCAGTAAATAATTTATTCTTTAGTCTTGTGCAACAGGTCATTAACCTGCTTAACAACCCTAAATCTAGATGTTTTCCCTTTAGAGAAATGTAGTGAAAATACCAAATCTTCCTTCCACTTCATTTTCTTTGATAGCTTACGGCAATACGTGATTTTTCTCTCAGAGTGGCAAACAGTAGTTTAGCTATTAACTACATGGGATCTAGATTTAGGAACCTTACTATGCTATATACAGTCTTATTATCTTTTGTATTTGAGATTTATGATTGTCTTCTGATCAATATTGTCTAATGACTGTGACCACAGGAGGAAAATTTCAAGTAAATTTCAACTTCCATTGCCATTTGACAGTAGGCAGAAAGTGTCACTGTGAAGTTATTTGTTCACCTTCATCTTTTTTTTTCCTAATCAGAAACAAGAAGAAAATCCTTGAGAGGACAATTCAGTTTCTTAGCCCCACCTCCTATGTTCTACCTCCAGCATAAACCCTGTGGTTCTTTAAGAGACAGATGTAAAGGAAGTGAGAGCTGGAGCTACTCCTACAAGTCTAGCGACAGTTCAAAACCGCTTCTAGGTTTCACCTACATTGGTAACCTAGAGGCAAAGGCCAGAACCTTTCCAGCTGTAGAAGCAAATTATTACTTGTTCTGCTTGAAGTATTATAAAACCTCATCTCTCTGTCGGAGATGTTCACCAAGAGAGATGTCAGCCAGAATGGTGTTCCGGGTTTAATTAAAGAGTTTGTCTGCCAGACATTCTTTAAGTCTGCTTTTTCTCATTTTATTTTTACTTTTTGGCATGTAACAGTATTTCCATACTTATTAAATCCTCACTGATAATTACATGCAAAAGAGCAATTAGCAGCAGACAATTTTGTGGCAAAGAATTTATAAACTGAACTGTTTACCATTCAGAGATGACTGAAATGGATGGCAGCTTGTTTCCAGCCCATTGGACTTCTCAGTTATGAGAGTGATGGCGCCCTATAAATTGACGCAAAACTGCACCAAATGAAACTTCACGTCTATAGCATTGTTCCAGATGAGGTAGTACCTGTTTCTCCAGCCTATCTTTGTATTAAACATAAAAGCATACCTGGACAGTAGACAGTTACCTAAATGGCATGCAGCATATCAGGAATTGCTTAAAATCAAAACTTAATTTCACTGCTCATCACTGTGTGTTGAGTGAGCTGTCCATGTGCTGCCTCCTGTCCTCACTAGAAAATAACCCTAGTGTCATGTGTAAGCATAAATTATATTTTTTAGAGAAATCCCATGATGTCTGAGATCAAACCTTAAAGCACCTTCCCCCACATCTCCCTTCTTCCTCCAACTTCTCTCCCGAATTCTCTACCTCCACCCCAAAGCACCTCAGAGGGACAGGGAATGGGGGTTGTGGTCAGTTCATCACACTTTGTGCTGCTCCTTCCTCCTTGCACCCTTCCCCTGCTCCAGTCTGGGGTCCCTCCCATGGGAGACAGTCCTCCACAAACTTCTCCAGTGTGAGTCCTTCCCACAGGCTGCAGTTCTTCACACACTGCTCCAGCGTGGGTCCGTTCTGCAGGGTGCAGCCCTTCAGCCACAGGCTGCTCTGATCTGGATCCCCTGTGAGGTCACCAGTCCTGCAGCAAACCTGCTCCAGTGTGGGCTCCTCTCCCCACGGGGCTACAGGTCCTACCAGGAGCCTGCTCCAGCACAGGCTTCCCACAGGGTCACAGCCTCCTTTGGGCACCCCCCTGCTCTGGCATGGGGCCCTCCCAGGGCTCCAGGTGGAGACCTGCTCCACCATGGAGCTCCATGGGCTACAGGGGCACAGCTGCCTCATCATGGGCTGCACCACGGGCTGCAGGGGAATCTCTGCTCTGGCACCTGGAGCATCTCCTGCCTTCTGTCTGCACTGACCTGCCTGTCTGCAGAGCTGTTGCTCTCACACAATCTCACTCCTCTCTCCACCTGCAGTTGCTCTTGCAGTTTTTTCCCCTTCTTAACTATGTTATCCCAGAGGCACTACCACCGTCACTGATGGGCTCAGCCTTGGCCAATGGTGGGCCCATCTTGTAGCCAGCTGGCATTGGCTCTCTTGGACATGGGGGAAGCTTCTGGCAGCTTCTCACAGAAGCCACCCCTGTAGTCCCTCTACTACCAAAACCTTACCTTGGAAACCCAATACCGCCAGATAGATCTTAGCTGTCTATGTCAACCTGAAGACTTGAAGTGGCATAGTGCCCTTTCAAATACTGGTTTAAGACTCATACAAAAAGGAGTCTGCTATATACTGATGAACATTTCCTTTCTGATGCACCTGCTATGTCTTTCTAACCAAGTACTGACCTAATCAAAACTCATTTTGCGTAGGAGATCTGATGTGACTATGGCCTGGCAGGTATGGTTTGGAATACTTCAGAACTCAGCAGAAGATAACATGCCCACTTTATATTTTAAACATCCATCCCTGAGCATGCATTTTGATTCATTATGAATAGGTACACTGATTTTAATAGGAAACAGGAGATCAGTTTTGAGGCTGAGGTATTTTTTATATTTATTTGCCTGTGTAAGTAGTTTTTCTATCTGACGTAACAGGAATCTCCTGTTTGCTTTCCAGTTTAAGTCTAAGTGTGATGAAAAATATCCTCCAGCATCTGTCATGAATACACACAACTCTGGCTCCCTAATGAGCTTTCAAGCTGGCACACCAAAATCGGGGAGCCTGGGAAGGCTTTTGTATGGCTACACTTGTTGCATCAAAGTCTTGTAGATCATTCCCTACTTTGTTCTTGTCAGCAGTTTTACAGTTCCAGATCAGGTTATGACCTCCACACCTATGATCTATTGCACAATGATAACTGTAGACACTTGATTTAATTCCTCTGAAATCAGTGTTCACTTTTAATTTGCTAACCCTAAGTTAAACCAGATAAATCCAACAAACCATTCAGGCAAGTTTGTTTTAAAGAAGTGTTTCTTAAAAAAGAAAAAGACAACTGTGCGATAAGACAGTTAAAGCATTCACACCTACACAGAGGCTAGAAAGCATAGTCAGCCAGGCAGTCATACTTATTTGTATTATAGTAGAGCCTCTTGCTCTGCTGGATGGAGGGTCCTTTCTGGAGGAGATCCCTATCCCCCAAAAGCAATTCCATCTGCATATACAAAAAAAGGCACAGAACTTTTCAAACTAACAAAGGATTGTTCAGGCATTGAGATGTTATGACTTCTTTGTCCTAGTCTGGGAAAAAAATAGTCTTTATGAAAGATTGCAGGAGTCCATCTGCTATGCGTGGGGGCTACCAGTCCTTTCCCCCTTTAGTGGGGAGGTGTCTGTCTTTCCACAGAGCTCATTCTTCCCTGCTTGGCTGCCTGCACATTAATAACAAGGAACAGAAACCATTCAGTGATTGATACCAACTTACGCTAAACAATTTCCCCTCCTGTTTCCAATAAACATGGCTGTTCAAATAGATTATAGTGTCTCGGAGCATTCACTCCCCCCAGCCTGCCTTACATGTCCTTTAGCTGCTCCTTTGTAATGGTAATGAAACTAAACAGCATTTCAAAGCAGGCTTTGATTAGCATGATAACCGTGTAGTGGCTTGATGGCCAGCATGGAATGATTATCTAGCCTTTCAGCACCAACAGCTTCGAAGGAAAGTTATACAACCTGTTAAAATGCATGTATGTATGTATATGTATATGTGTAGGTATTTGTTTGCATTTGCATAATATGGACAGGTATAAGCCAGGTATCAAACAAACCTGACAAGGTCCATTCATTGATATTCCCTGTTAGAACAGTGTTTTCTTGATGCACAGACTAATTGTACCAATTTGCCACAATTTGCTTGGGTAGTGCATACACATTTAAATGGGGGACAGGAGGTAGGATTGCAGCAGAGCTGGTAATTACTCATCATGTAGAGCATCATCACATGCTGCTAGTCAAGCCACTGGGCATTGCTGGATAGTGGAACATCTGGAAATGGTGTACAGCAGGAAGACTGCAGAAAACTGTTTCTCGAGACCTGTGTAATAGTGTCAGTTTGCACACCAAGGGCTGAAACTAAAATGGTATGGCACCACTAATATAGTCTTCCAAATCAGATCATTTAGGGCAAGGCCTTCAGCTGCAGCAGTCACATCTCCATCAAAATCCACAAAGATGCCTGAGTTTCTGCTCAGACCATGCCCCTTGTAAGATTTATTTCTTCCTTCTAAAAAATAAATGCAAGACAGATGTTTATTTCTGGAATGTTGTTATCTGACATATGACATGGCTTTAAGAAGTTATAACCACACACTGTGATGGGATGAGCAGTAGCCCTTTGGCTGTTTCACAGCATTTAGACTTTGTGATACATGAGCGATTCTTCTGGTTTCATTTCTTTTTTTAGTTCCAACTTTCATTTTCCCCTTTTAACTTATTTGGAGCACAAACAGGAGAAATTGCCTTAATTGAAATAATGTTTCCTCTGGATTTCTTTTTTATAATGTTTGTAATTTGTCAGCCCTTCAGTATGCTGCATGTTAAGTGAATGTATGACAAGTGACATCTTGATAGTCTGCAAATACTTAAATGCCGGAACATGGAGAAGCTTCATGCCGTCTATATTAGCAGCATGTGTATCTGTAATCCAAGCAGAAAGTAAGAGATGAGTAGGTACATTAAATAGGCAACAACATTAATTCAGCAGCATCACGAAGCTGGTCACTGTGATAAAAAGCAGTGTGTCATCTTTGTAAATGTACTCAGAACTCTGGGGGCTATGATTACTGCAGAATATCAAAAAACCGTACCAAAAGGTTTATCTGCTTTATCTCCAGAAATATAAACAGCATGAATCCAATGCACGCTTTGCAAATGGTTTTTGATTTATTTCTTTTGTGACTGTTTATACAAAATTCAATAACTGGACATTAAAATAACAGATAAAATTCAGTAAGTTGATTGGGAAAAGCAGTCTTAATTTCACAAATGAAGCAGTGGGAGTTTCTGACTCAGGAGTTAGATCTAGGAGCTATAATGTATGTGCTTTTAGGCAACTATGCCACCATGATGATCAGAACTGTGGCATTTGGCCTTAAAGGAGATACTGAGGGACCAGGGCATCTTCAGCCTGGGAAAGAGATGGTTCTAGGGGAACCTAACAGCAGTACCTAGCAACCAGTACTAATAACTAGTACCTACCAACCAGTACCAGTGCCTACTGGTTATGGTACTGAGAAGCTGGAGCCAGGCTTTTCTTGGTAGTGCATGGCAAGAGAACAAAGAACAATGGCCATGAAAAGTTACAGAGCTTGGTGGCAGATCTGACTGACTATAAAGGAAAATATTTTCCTGATGAGACCAACAAAATTTTGGAACAAGGAGGTTGTGCAGTTTCTGCACATGGAGGTTTTAAATACCCAACTGGATAAAGCCCTGAGCAACCTCGGTTGTAGCTGGCCCTGACCTGAGCAGGAGGTTGGACTACTGACCTCTTGATACCCCTTCCATCCTGAATTATCCAGTGATCCCATGTTTCACACAATACGTAGCTAAGCTGTACAACTCCACTGCAGGATGCTGCAGACACTGTAGCTCAACGTAGGTTTCAGAAGCTGGACAGGATCACCAATGGAAAACACACTGATGTTTTGCGTTTAAATCCCAGAGACTTGGAGGCTGGGAAATGTTAAGTGGAAATATTATGAGATTATTTGCTATAATCTCATATTCTTCCTTGGGCAGCAGTTTATGGCCACTGACAGAGATGGGTTACTGGCCTAGATGGACCAGTTGTACATCTCCCAAGTCATTACAGCTGGTTTTGTGTTCTTATTTCTAAAAAGTACACCATTATCATAAGCTTCTGTTTAAAGCCTAAAATTTCACAGGGCTTTTAATTACAGGGAAGTGCAGTTTTTAGAACGTCATCCCTGCCCTTGAAAGGAAGAGTAAAATAATGAGGCTTTTCTGAGCTTTTTTCAGTCAATTTTCATAATGATGGTATTTGGGGGGAAACTGAAGATTGTAGCTTGCTACCAGAAAGTACCAGAAATGTTGTACAGAGATCTATTTTTATTTGTTTTTCTTACTTTTTCCAAAGTTCAACAAGTTCACTGCAATCTGCCTTTCAAGGTCACCCATCTGATTCAATGATCATCTTAGCTCCACCAGTTCTTGTTTTTTGAATAAAATTGTAATTACCAGCCTTTTAAGCACCAGCTGTTCTATTGAAACATGATACTGGTAGTGTACTCAGTCCTGGTGGAAAAATATCTGTGAGCTGCTTTTCACTGAAGCCTCCTAGCTGATTGCAAGAAGCACTTGTGGTCACGGAATTAAAGGGGCCACAACCAGATCCTTTATGGATACAGCCTCTCTTGTTTTGTGAATTACCCTATTCAAACATGTATTTGAACCTCCATTATACTCATTCCTTATAAAC